CTCAGGGTCCAGGACCTCAGGATCCAGGACCTCAGGATCCAGGATCCAGGACCTCAGGATCCAGGACCTCAGGATCCAGGATCCAGGGCCTCAGGATCCAGGACCTCAGGATCCAGGATCCAGGGCCTCAGGATCCAGGACCTCAGGATCCAGGATCCAGGGCCTCAGGATCCAGGATCCAGGGCCTCAGGATCCAGGATCCAGGACCTCAGGGTCCAGGGCCTCAGGGTCCAGGACCTCAGGGTCCAGGACCTCAGGGTCCAGGATCCAGGGCCTCAGGATCCAGGGCCTCAGGGTCCAGGACCTCAGGATCCAGGATCCAGGGCCTCAGGATCCAGGATCCAGGACCTCAGGGTCCAGGGCCTCAGGGTCCAGGACCTCAGGATCCAGGACCTCAGGATCCAGGATCCAGGACCTCAGGATCCAGGACCTCAGGGTCCAGGGCCTCAGGATCCAGGACCTCAGGATCCAGGGTCCAGGGTCCAGGACCTCAGGGTCCAGGACCTCAGGATCCAGGGCCTCAGGATCCAGGGTCCAGGACCTCAGGGTCCAGGACCTCAGGGTCCAGGATCCAGGACCTCAGGGTCCAGGACCTCAGGATCCAGGACCTCAGGATCCAGGACCTCAGGGTCCAGGACCTCAGGATCCAGGACCTCAGGATTCAGGACCTCAGGATCCAGGGCCTCAGGGTCCAGGACCTCAGGATCCAGGGCCTCAGGATCCAGGGCCTCAGGATCCAGGGTCCAGGACCTCAGGGTCCAGGACCTCAGGGTCCAGGACTGAAGTGCCAACGATGCTTTGTCTCATTTTTCTTGTATAATAAAGATCTTTGTTGTGTTAAAAGTTGTGTACCTGGGCAGGTGTGTGTTTTGTTGCAGGACACAGTGGGTTGTAAAAAGTGTTGACCACCTCTCTAAGCTGCTTCTCTGTAGTCGGGTCGCAGGGACAGAAACCCAGACCTCTCCCCAGCTCGTCCTGGGGGACCCCGAGGTGTTCCCAGGCCAGAGAGGACCCACGATCCCTCCAGAGAGTCCTGGACCCTGGGTCCTCCCGGGGGTCTAGCAGAGGTCAGGGTCTCTTGATCAGATGAACACCTCAGCTCTGAGCTTTGACTCGTAAATGATGAGMACTTTGAAGATGGTTCTGATGACAAAGAGAGCAGGTCCAGTATCTGGTCCCCTCAGGTCCAGTATCTGGTCCCCTCAGGTCCGTCTCCAGGGTCCTGGTCCATCAGTTTGGTTCAGTTTATTTATAAAACACAAAGTCACAACACACCTGTCAGGTCTGCACACAACAACGATGTGAAGCAGCAGATTGTGACTCTTCCTGAGCAGCACATGGAGACAGTGGAGAGGACAAACTCCCCTCAACAGGAAGAGACCTCCAGCAGAACCAGAACCAGAACCAGAACCAGGCTTGGGGACAGGAAAGAGACAGAAGGACCTCTGTCTCAGATCTCTGGAAGGACTTCTCTTCATGTCTGAGCAGTTTGTCAGCATGATGCTGCCMCCACCGTGCCTGACTGATTCTACCAGGTGAATCTGAACAGTTTGGATCTGAAGGAGTTGGACTTTTATTCATCAGAACCAGTTTTCAGGTCCAACACAGAAGATGTAACAGATGTAAGAGCGGTGTGTTCCTGTGAGCCTCAGCACTGACTGCAGCAGGTCCTGCTGCCCTCTGCAGGACTGACATGTTCATCTCCAACCACTGGGACCAGTTTCCTCCCAGTWACAGACTCAGGTGGTCCTCCAGAGTCTGCTACTGGAAAACACTAACTAATACTGGACCCTGACTCAGCTGTGGACCCTGTCAGCTTCCTCTGAATATGTTAGTCCAGTTCTTTAGTCCAACATGTTCAAACCAAACTTATTACAGTTCAGAATTTTTCATTAGTTTGTTTTTATTTCACTGACTGTTTTTCTTTTAATTTAGTTTGTTTTCAGTAGTTTTTACAGTGTATTTACTACTTAGTTTAGTTTTAGTTTTAGTTTAGTTTTAGCAGGACTGGAGCCCCCCTAAAACATTTTAAAGCCCCCCTAAATTATTTTGGTATAATTTTTTTAAAAATAAAAATTCAATATGATGTGGTCAGAATAAAAA